GACCATATAATTTTTCGAATAAATTGTCATTAAAATAAATAAATTAATTAATATTCCACGAATTAAATTATAGGTATATTAAAAATAAACCACATATATTGTTAAGTTAATTTCAATTTAGAAAAAACAAATCGATTAAATATTGTTTAAGTTAAGAGGGTGTCTAAAAAGTTAAAATTTAAAATAGCTCTCCTGCACAATTTCAATTTTGTGACTTATAACAAGTGTGCACCAAGCCATCGATATATAAAATAAATAGCCCGAGTACCTTCAAGTCGGAATGGTCACTGCTGTCGAAAAGGACAGATGGTGAAATGGCACGGGCTTCTGCTGGGACAGTTTGCAGAAGTTGACTATTGTTGCTGGCCCACTTTCGCAATTGAAATTGCGCCATAGCACACAAGTTTATTAATTGGGTTTGGCATTCAAGAGCAGTTTCTGTTGAGTTGGCTCCGGTCAGGATGTCATCAACAAACGTGTCATTCAACAACACAGACGCAGCTATCGGCCATTTTGCACCAACTACAGTCGCTAATTCACGGACAGTGCGAAGTGCTTGGAAGGGAGCTGCAGAGGTGCCGTACGTCACTGTACATAACCGGTACTCGTCAATCGGAGATGTGGACGAGAATCTCCACAGAATCCGCAAATAATCTCTGTCAGCTGGTCTGATGAGAATCTGGCGATACATTTGCTTTATATCAGCCATAAATAAGTATTTCCAAAGTCGAGCACGGAGGAGAACAACTTGTATGTCAGGTTGTAGTTTAGGACCTGTGTACATACTGTCGTTTAAGGATATACCGGCTGATGTTTTTGCAGATGCATTGAATACAACCCTAAGCTTTGTAGTCAGACTATCACGCAATGGTGTGGAATATAATAATGAAACGGATAGCCTTGTTCAGACGATGGAATCAACTCCATATGACCAGCCGTCAGATAGTCGCGCATGAACTCGGCGTATTGATCTTGCAGGTCTTTGTTGCGGTTGAGACGACATTCTAGGGCCTTGAACCGCAAAGCTAACGTTCTCGAGTCACCAAGCAGTGGACGAGGTTTCAGAAACGGAAGAGTGACAACAAATCTGCCTGAACGAGTTGTAGTAGAAGTATATATTTTCTCAGCAGCAACGTCAGCTGGTCTCAAATGGCAAGCGGTGGGTAGCTCTTAGAGTTCCCAGAATTTTTTTATTAAGGAGTCAATAGGTTCGGATATATTTACGCTAAGTGTGGCAACGGAACGTTAAAGTTCCGTAGGGCCCATGAGCACCCATCCAAAAACAGAGTTCATTACGAGAGGTTCACCAACTTGACCCTTTCGAGTGCCATCAAGGAACACTCAAAATAAATATTTGCTGCTAATTGCAATAGATCAGCTCCAATTAGTAAGTCAATTGGGCCAGGTGTATTATATGAGCCAGCGAGAGACTATTAATGTGATCCCAGTGTCCAAACGTTACCGGAATTTAAGGAGTTGGTCCAGTTATGTGCGGAACTATCGATACGTCAAGAGAAAAAGAGGGTGCTTGTTGACCGGAGGGAGACATCTTAATACTGCATTTGCCCCGAACAACTGTAGAGTCTGAACTAGCGAATGTAGTAACGCTGACAGAAGATCGGAATTAACGAAGCATAAGAGCACAAGCAGCTCGTTCTGTGATAAAGCTAGCTTGTGAACCAGAGTCTAATAAAGCTCTTAACGCGTGTCGCCGTCCATCGGAAGCATAGACGTCCACTACTGCTGTTGACAATAGGACGATGCGCTGAGGTTGTCCTCGAACAAGACATGAGGTAGTCGTAACATGTGACTCAGCCCCAGGCACAGGCGCTGCCGTCTTAGTGGATAATGTATTTGGCGATACTGAACCTATGGTATTTGGTTTATTAGCAGTAGGATTAAAGTGCAACAGCGAGTGATGACTTTTCCTACATGACTGACATGTATAGGTTGAAGGGCATCGCGCTGAGGAGTGACCTGTCCCCAGACAATTTATACACAAACGATGCGTTTTTGCAATATGAAAGCGTTCATTTGGAGGCTTGTCAGTAAATAGGGTACATGACCTTATTGAATGAGGTGCATTACACAGTGGACACGGCTTGACGGATGAAGTACTCGAAGTGGTGGCTAGAACGCTTGAAGAAGAGCGAGGGTTGTAACTTGATTGCTTAACTGACTTGTGCGGTTTCGATGCACTATTGTGTCTGTCAGATGATGAACAACTGGAATAAATTGAGTACAGATGAGTACGCAAAAAGTCAACAAAGTCAGAAATTTGAGGATAATGATTCTCCCCAACGACCAATTCCCACCGAGCACGAAGTTCATAATCAAGGTGTTTTTCAACGATGTGCACCAGAAGTGGACTCCATTGGCGCGTTACAAAGTCAAGATTGTCCAAAGCAGCAGTGTTCTCTAAGATCGTATTGATCTGAGTTTTAATAGAGGAGCCATCATTGGACTTAACAATCTGGTTAGCGAGCAGAGCATCAAGGTGAATACGAGCAAGATCACGCTTATTGCCATAACGTGAACGCAATATTTCCCACGCACTAGTGTAATTTGTAGCCGTTAACGCGAGATGGGAGATAAGTGATAGCGCTTCACCCTTAAGAGACATCTTCAGAAATTCAAACCTCTCAACGTCCGGCAGTTCAGGAGCGTGCGATAGTATGGAGTTAAACAAATCGTCAAAGCCCTGCCACTCGGTCATCTCACTGGAAAAAACAGGGAATGTATGCTTAGGTAACTGAAAAGCGGATAATTGATGTTGACCACTGGTTTGATTTGAAAATTATGAAGCAGCTGCGTCCATCGAGGATGACATTGTCAACTTGTGAACATCAGCGAACGCAGCCAGTTCATAAAAGAGACTATCAAATGACGTGATAAGAGTTTGACTTTCACTATTGTCAGTGATCTCGGCAGGGGCTGTGTTATCGGCTGATTCCATTCGTTGGACATCATCCTCAACTGCGTTACGAAGAGTAACAAGCTCACTAATCATTTTGGCAATTTTGGCTCGTTTACCAGAGTTTGTACGGTCATTATTGAAGTCAATAGAAGCTTGGGCAAAGGATTTCAATTTGGTAACGCAGCGAATAATGCGCGACTTTGAGTCGTTGTAAATAACGTCCGCCATTGTTGTTCGAAATTATTTGATGCAAGTAATGAGATTGTTCGTGGAGAACAGGTACGTAGACTATATACAGGTGAGATTTGTTTGGTCATGATTTGGTACACGGTCTTAAGACGGTCTTGTAACGTCACAGAATTTTGAGCCCCTTGACCCTTGTTAATCATTAAGCCCCAGTGCTTACCCCTAATACTCAGTGCGATGATAATATTATGCCTATTACTTTTTGTGATAATGTTATAATTTTACGGAGGTGGGTTTTCGTTTTTAAAGCCCCGTTCACACGATCAAATAATTTGTCAAATATTTGGTGTATGTCAAACTTCAAATATTTTATAAATGGTTCTAAAATATTTGGATTTTGACGAATGTCAAATATTTGACAAATTATTTGATCGTGTGAACGGGGCTTTAAAAACGAAAACCCACCTCCGTAAAATTATAACATTATCACAAAAAGTAATAGGTATAATATTATCATCGCACTGAGTATTCACCACAGATATAGATAATAATAACAGATATAGATAATAATATTATTATCTATATCTGTGGTATTCACCATGATATACCTAATATTATCAACAGTGTTATCAGTACCTTCACTGTTTTATATAGTCCCTTTTTTAATCCACCTGAAAGCCGTTTGTTATAGGGCGATTTGCAACCTGTACAGTGTACATCGTTAATCGTGCCCCCGAGCCAGCCACCTGCTTTCAATGAATACTCTTCATATTAGTCTGTGCCCTGTGGTCTGACTACACATTCGGTGTGTTTCTAAACAGTCGATTACGCGATTCATTTTCTTTTTATAGTTATTCGATTTGCACAGTTGATTCGCCGAGCCGTTTTCGGTTTCGTACTGTACTTTTGGCTTCGGATTACGTAACGTATTTACACTTAACGGTCTCCGATCTCCGTCGAGGAATAATTGTACCAGCATGCAGCCATCAATCGGTGGGTGCAGTTAATTATTATCATTATTGTATACCTATAGTATATTTCAATATATTTTGTATTTAAACTCAGTTGCACACACACACACACACACACACACACACACACACACACACACACACACACACACACACACACCAACCACTGCCTTACTACGCAGTACGTACACATTAATTACATCGACTCGCTAAACAAGGTTTCATGGTTATTAAGGTTACCATGATCCATAGGTACCATGGTTACCATGAGTGTTGTAGCTATTATATTCATAATTATAGGTCTTTAATGGGCAACGAAGTGCATGGGATCAGATATTTTATATATATAGTCCGTGTGTGTCCACATTACCATGGCAACCTTTTATATTGTTTTATGTAAAACATATTATTCATGTAGAGTTGTCAATTTTAATGGGCAACTTAGTGCACGGGATCAAATATTTTTATACATATAGACATGTTAGATCTCTGGGCAGAAGATTGGCTAATTTAAAAGGGGAGAGGACCAACACCGGGACGTGCTCAAACAGGGATTTTGAGATTTTTGTTTATATATGGTCGCCGCGGGTTTCAAAGCTATAATTATAATAATAATTGGTTTAAAATTGTTGTTATGGTAACCGTTATATTATAAAAAAAAACATATTATTCATGTAGCGTTGGTATTTTTAATGGGCAACGAAGTGCACGGGATCAGCTAGTACATAATAAATAATCAAATAATTTATCATATGAAAAATCAGCAGGATAAATGAACAATATATATATATATATAATGGTTTCTATTCATATAACAGAAACTCTAAAATTTATTTGTATTAATTATAATTAAAACAAAAAAAAAAAAAAATTACAATTAATTAATTTAGAATTTTTGTTTTAGCAAGAAATTAAATATTGTTAAGATGGCCAATATAATGTACCAGTTCAGAATGAATGATCTCACATCAAAACTTAATATCTCTGAGGATAATTTAAAAGAAAGCCAAATTGCTTTTAATGAGATAAATGCCATATATTTAAATCACCTTAATGGTAGTAATGAGATTAATATAAATCACAAGAAAAAGTAAGTAATCTTGTTAGTTCTTAAAATAATGCAATTTTAAAACTTCTATATTTTTTACGTAATTTTAATAATATCTATTTTTACACAGTACATCTGCAGATTACAAATTTAACGAAGAGCGAAGTAAGAGGATTTTATTGCAAAAAGAGGTATACGAATACCAGGGAAGGAATTCGGCTGAGCTCAAGTATATAAATATATTTATCTTAATTTAAATATCTGAGGTTTAGTTCTTATTCAGCAATTTTGTATTTCATATTATTTTTTATTTAGCAAATTAAATTCTGAAGTAGAAAAGTTACAATCAGAAATAACCAAGAAACAACCAAGTACATCGTCAAAGGTATATTTAAAGTTTTTTATATAATATATTTTCTTATAATGATCAATTATAATTTTGTGCGATATATTATAATGTACATATTTGGGCTTCAATTTGAATTTCAATCCAAAAACATAATTTATTTACAGTCAAGTGTTAAAAACTTATAAAAATGTATGTAATGTCTCCGACATAGGTATTTATATATTTCAAACTGAAGGTCATTCAAGAAAATAGCAAATATTAATTATTTAATATGTTTATTTGAATTAATTTATGAATCCATTTCAAAATGCTTGAAGGAAAAATACACTTCCACGTCAAATACAGTCTCCTATGTTTGAGCGTAAGATATATAATATAAATCCTTTTCTGGATAAAAATAATATTCTTCAGTAAAAATCATAAGATTTATACCAGCTTAGTTAAATAAACATAAATTAAATTAACTTTATTATTATTAAAATATTTAGTAAATATTAAGTGGTTTTTTTGTAATGTATATGTATATTTTTAGTAAATGTTATTATAAAGTAAAACGATAAAACGAATCCCAGCTCATGTGCATACTGCTTTTGTCCTTCGGATATAATTATCTAGATTTTGTTATCAATTTTCATCATATTTCAATATTGATCTAATGGGTTGGTATAGTCATCCTTCAATGACAATGTCATAATAAAGCGCTTCTAGGCTCTACAAATTCCGTTTACCGACACCACAACCTGCACCTTCGTGATAACCATCTTTTTAATTTTCATATTAATTGTCCATCAAATCAAAAATTTTTTCAGTTCAGAACAGTTTTTGCTATGCTGCAAGTGTGTAATACCAGGGCCGGATTTAGGAATGTGGGGGCCCTGAGCCCACCTTTAGAAGTAGATATTTTTTTCGATTAAGTACATAATATATTTAATAACCAGAATTTTGGTTATGAAAAAACAATGATTTGTTGTGATGAAATAATAAAGATAGTAAATAAGTAAATACATTTATTAGATTATAATAGGTATGTCAATTGTCATAATATTATATATAGAACTTAAATAATAACGGTTATCATAATATATTTATATGATAACTTTGCGAGATTTCGTCGCCGCAAATTTTTCAACAACTTGTGACCTGTTTTTTAAATAATAAAATAATAATAATTTTTGTGAAAAATAGAACACACTCAATCCACTATTGCGATTAATGTACTGGTGAGAACTTGCTGTATATTATAGTTCATGACATTATTGATTAATAGATATTAATTATGGTATCTTATAGTATCTTATCTTATTCCGCGTTTAAAAAGACTGTACCAGTTTTCCGTTAACCCATTATTCCAATCATTATAATTTATAAATATTAGTTATAATCACATATTCACATATCATAAAATATCAATCTTATATTTTGTGGAATTGTATCCGTAGGCCCGCATAATATAATATCGCCCGGTCGGACAGTCAGTTATATTCGACGGACACTTAATTTTTTTACAAATTTTTCAAACACAAATAAAATTTGAAAACAAATTTAAAAAATATATTCCAACAGTTATTAGATAAACTTCTCGTGTTTAATTTGGTATAAAAACTATGTTTCTACGACTTACGAGGCCTGAGTACTATTGGAACTACGAAAACATGTTTTTACGATCTATTTTTTTCTACCTACAGTGACGGCTCTTAACTACTATCGTACGTGCAGGAACAAGTTGTTATTAAACTATTATATTATAGATTATTAAATTATAACTAGGTTTTTATCGAGGTGATTTTGAAAATCTATTTTTCCAGCTGTGCTATCAATCTATATATATAAAAATGAATGTATGTCAGTGTGTCAGTGTGTCAGTGTGTCTGTGTGTCCATGTTACCATGGTTACCAAGGTTGCCATGGTTACTAAGGTTACCAAGATTTCATATCAATCTATATATATAAAAATGAATGTATGTCAGTGTGTGTGTGTGTGTGTGTGTGTGTGTGTGTGGGTCCATATTACCATGGCAACCATATCTGTATATAAAAAACAGTAAGCTGATTGACTGCTATCAACGCACAGCTCAAACCATTGGACGGATCTGGCTGAAATTTGGCATACAGATAGCTATTATAATATAGACGTGCGCTAAGAAAGGATTTGCCAAAATTCGCATTTTAAATAGGTGCTGAAACAGGGACATTGAGATTCACGATAGAAATTGGAAATTTTATTTTTATTTATTTATAGTTGCCATTGGTTACAGTCTACATTAGAAATTAGCATTTATTTATTGGTTGCCATTGGTTATTCGGGCAGATCAGGTACAAGCTTGCATCAAATCGAATTATTGAACAATGCTTACCAGGGTGGCAGAGTTGCACTTACCGCAGAAAATTACACCCAAAAGGAGTTCAACAATCATAATTTTTTTAAGAGTTGCGATTTTTTACGAGCAACCAAATTTATTATATTAATCCACAGTATTACATCAAAATAAACTTGGTATAACTTTGATACTTTAGAGTTAAATCATACACTTCCGTACAAACAGCACGGGGTCCGCGATCTACCGCAGGTAGATTGCCTACCTGATAATGTACTGCCGCGATTCAGAATTTTTATTCAGGGCAACGGGAAAGATAAGATAAATTTTGAACACCATACACGTTAATGAATTGAACAAAGTTTGAGTAGGTAGTATTGAGTTGATCCATTTAACGGGCGACGAAGTGCACGGGATCAGCTATAATTAATATAAAAAATGATATTTTTTATTTATATTTTTAATCGTGACACTAACATTTTTCGGAATATTAAAAATCACCACGATAAAAACCTAGTAAGTTATCTCGTTAATCAATCTTAATCCGTTTTCAAAATTGAAATCTGTCAAACCAAATTACTACAGTTTTGTCTAGATTTTTGGTCTAAATGCCACTTTTTTACACAGACAGCAGCCCCCTTGATTGAAAACCGTCGAATTACTAAATTTAATTTAATAAAAAATACATTGTACTAACCTGGATAAATATCACGATCAAAATATACTTTATGGTTGAAGCGTGAAAACTGAGTGTACCATCTATTTTTCCTATCGTCTACGGTCTGCCGCATCAATATCATAAATAATTACATCTTTCTCTACAGTCTACGTTATCGCATGTTTTTATTTAGAACTTATTCAGCACGCATTTATTTATAACAGTCCACAGCGGACGGCTTGCTATACAAGTTATAATATGTGTTTATTTATAACTGTTTTTAATTAAAATATCTACAAATCTACAATATAATAATAACATAATAACATAATAATCGATTTTAAATTCACATCTGTAAGCTAGCTACTCATTTCTATAAATTCATTAGTTATTAAATATTAATAATAACATTTATTTATAAATTTATGACAATATCAATGATTGAATATTTTTATTCATGTTGTGATTTAAATCCGTTTTGAAAATGTTATATTGTGTTTTATACTTGGATGTAAAAAAAAACATTTAGCGGGGGCCCTCAATTTGTGGAGGCCCGGGGCCCGGGGCCCCCCCTAAATCCGGCCCTGTGTAAGACCGAGAAAACATATTATGCAGGTGTGATGTCTTCTTAAGTGTCTTGTAAGCGATGGGTTAAGGATATTGTGTTAAATTTAAATTAAATATATAATAAATATTTATTGCTACATTCATACTTTGAATGCGATGCCTACCAATATAATGATTTTATGTTTCAAATTTCAAGTTATAAAAGTTAGTTATAAGAAAAAGTTATTTAGCTCTTGTAAATTAAACCGTTATCATTTATTTCAATTAATACTACATTTTTACTAAACTTATTAAGGCTGTTGGAGCACACCGTATTTTTTGATGTTTTAGACCAATAAGCGGAAAATTAATTTATGTACTTCTTGATGTCCACTTATTATTTAAAAAATATGTATGAACTCATCATCTCCTTTTCTAGGTTGTGTGGGAAACAGATTTTTGATTTTTATATTCAATAAGGCTTAAAAAATATGTTAAAATTAAAAAAATTATGGAAAAAATTTTATTTTATACACTTACATTCAGTTTTAACACATCAATTATTTTTCCTACATAACCTTCCCCAGATAAGTTACTCTGGCACCCCTTTGTCAGAATTTTCCAAACTAAATCATACTATTAGTTAGTAACCAATTTGTAACTATAATGTGTTTTACATATTACTATTATTTTAATATTGTTTTATCAGAAATTATAAATGAAAAATAAATAAATGTTGCTATTACTTGTTTTATATTAATTATTAATAGTATATTACAGCGGTGCAACTCGTTTGCGCACAATCCAAATTGTTTACCTAGATATCGATGACTCGTTTGCGCACAACTAAGACTATCGTTAACCTAAAAACTCGTTTGTGCACAACATAAACACTGCATAACATAAATTTTATATTTTTAAATTTGGACTTACCTAAAGTAGGTAATTGATTATCGGTACAAATTATCAGTACAAATGACCGGCATTACAATATTAAATATATCATTAGTCATTATCATCATTGAAAATAATCGACGTGTATTAAACATAATATTTTTAAGCAGTCGTTCGCCAGAAAGCGGTACTACCTATACTGACTAGTGACTATGGATATCGAAATTTGTGATATTTTTGAAACGCGTCGAGGTAAAAAGTGTATAAATATAGATAGTTATAAATTTAGAGAATTTCGAACACCATTCTTTAAGGTTTCCAAAATTAGTTTATTAAATGCTGTACAGTACACTTTAAATTCTACATTGAATACCAATTACCTACCAATTAGTCATTATTTTTAGTGAATAACAATAACATTCATTATTATTAATTATATCTATAATATCTATTATGTCCAGTGCGAAGTCGATTTAACACGACCCATTCTCGTCGAGGTAGTTGATGTCCTGGTAACAGGTTTCCTAGTGATTGTATTATATTGTGGGAGTCCGGATTAGATTTTTCCCATTCTGATTTCCAATCAGCTAGGCCATCGTAGCGGTCCGCAATAAGTTTCCTTATACTAATGTGGGCGCGTTTTCTGGATTTCAGCCTGAGGCTTCCATTGTGAATGGTGTCCTGATGGATTGGGAGAGATTGGTTGTCAGCGTATTTTGACCATTCTCTGTAACCAGCTAATTTACGGCGTATAGAAGGTGGGAAAATGTTACACAAGACGGGAAGCCACTGTGTGGGAGTTGACTTTACCGTACCAGAAATTATCCTCATAGAGTGGTTGAGCTGGACGTCAATCTTGCTGCAATGTGAACTGTTCATCCAAACTGGACAGATGTACTCTGCGGCTGAGTACACTAGGGCCAGAGTAGACGTTCTAAGTGTGGAAGTAGATGCTCCCCAGGATGAGCCAGCTAGTTTTTGGATTATATTATTTCTGGTTTTAAGCTTAGCTGCAGTCTTTTCTATATGTCTTTTGTACGTAAGCTGTCTATCTAGTGTTACTACTAAGTATGTAGGAGTCTGGTCGTAATTGAGTGTACTACCACGGAACGTTACCTTGGGTTGATAGTTGGCCAGACGATTATTTAGATGGAAGCTTGTGACGACAGTTTTATTTATGATGGTTTTAAGTCGCCATCTGTGTAGATATGTTGAAATTATATCTAGGCCTTCTGATAATACTTTTTCGGTGACTTCAAATTTATTGTTTTGCACAGCCAGTGTAATATCATCAGCGTAAATAAATTTCCGTGAAATTGTGTTTGGTAAGTCACTAATATAGAGATTGAACAAGATTGGTGCAAGAACTGACCCTTGGGGTAACCCGTCGTTCAGTCGTCTTGGTTTGCTATGTCTTTCTCCTAGATGAACTACAAATGTACGATTACTAAGTATTTCGTTCATCAGTTTGTATAGTGTGAGACAAGGAAATAGTGCATGACAGTAGTTACAGCTCTGAAATTTTTTATTTGGTTCAATGGTAGAAGTGTAGAACCACTTGAATCATATATTAAATACATTACATTTTTTAATAAAAATAGGTAGGTAGGTATACATTTGTAATAAGAATTTCTAACTACAAAATAGTTTTCAAATTTTCGTAATTTTTACGAAATTTGTCGAAATTCTAACTTCAGACGCTCATAAAAAAACCATTATGGATTTATGCTGGACTTATTTTTAATTTCCACTAGCAACAACTTATGAGGAACGTTGTTGGCGTACCTATTACATTCACAAGTTATTGGACCTAGCGAAATAATTTTATCGACATAAATTAAGAAAAAACTAAAATAATCGTAAATTTCATATGCCTATAAACAGCTCAACATGAATAAAAATGTTTTGAAAATGTTATGGTTTTAAATTCTTTTATAAACAATCGACGAAAATTGCATTCATCTACAGCAGTTTATTTAAGAGTACCTACTACCATAGTAGTACATGAAAAACCGAAATGGATTTTACGTAGGTAATAATCACTTAAGTGTGTAAATGCTTTAATAATATATTATGTTTGAGTTTCTTTATTGGGAAGGCAAAAATGCTAATGGTACCTATATCATAATCATTAATGAGTCCATGAATTGAAAACATTTGCAAAAAATGTTTTGCACAGTATGAAAATAATATGACATCGACTTAAATTGTTTTCAATTTTATTACCAAACTTAAATTTTTTACCACAAGAAAATAATATATTATTTTACCTGTCATTAACTAGGAGAAAATTTTAATTTTCAGCTGTAAGTACAGGGTGCTTTTGTAATACGCTGTGTACATCTTCTATATTTATTGGAATTTTTGGTAGGACTGATAAACCTACGAGTATTACAAATGTGTTTTTCAAGTATAGTTTATAAGTACGACGGATGGCGCTAATAGTCAATAAAAATAACTAGGTATACTACAGACTGAATAGGTATATATTATTATGTATTATACTTAATATCTAAATAGTAAATTGTACATATTATCCTAGTCCAACGTCAATACTAAATATTGAGTTATACTAAGGTAGCCTATTGTAGGGTATTTTGATGATTTGAAGGACCAGCTCGATAGAATAAATTTGTAGCGATTGTATCTACCGAACAGATTGACGGCGTCAAGGATAGGCAACCAAAGTTGCATGTACGATTAACGTTGTTAGAGGTGACAAGACGACGACGCCTACTCCAAGATATACGTAATCCAACACACAGCTAAACGGATTGATGGTGGCTGGCTATGACGCGACGATGGACAACAAGGAACCAGAACGCACCGAAACGCGAAGGTGTGAAGGATACAGGTTATACAATGGGAAATAGGATAATGCAATTTACGTATAAACGGGGGTCTCTCTGTGCTCGGATCGGTCTGGTGCAATGACCATAGAGCTCACAATAAGTGGAGATAATCTTACAACTAACTTATGCTACGGAAGTATATGCAGTTGTCACGATATCCACTGATGCCCCAGAATGTCCACGCATCAATGACTGAGGTGGAGGTATAAGATTGGTCGATCCACAGCGTATTGCATCTGGACGACCTGGGCGGCCACTCACACAACACACAATGATTGCTGGCGGGCTTACGCAAGTGACGAGTGATGCCAAGAATAACGCGGATGATAGTGTAATGATCACCGTACGTTCGATTCTTATTGGCGATAGTCAGTTCGGATTCTCTAACAAAGAGGTAGATATTACAAAAGGAACCAAATGAATGAGTACTCACCGATTTTGAACGAAATATTATGATTTATTGATATCCGTTATGTAAATGATCTGCAGACTCAGTCTCCGCGAAATCAGATAAGGTTACAAAGATTATTGTGTCATTTGACTGATGACAACAATGAGAAAAGATAGAACGTGTATGTACACAATTAATAATAAAAAAGATCGGGAGCTGCTGTAATAGCGAGCGTCGCCAGTACACACCACACAGTACTACGTATTATAATATTACGATTTCTGTAGGTTATGTTGACACAACGTACAAAAAACTAGAGAACTAGAACAATATAAAACAATATGGCGGTGTTTACATTGATTGAGCAAAGACATTATAAATACGTTTTTGTATGGAGTGGATCGAGTATGTAATGAATAGGAAGAGACGGGAAGAGCGGGGATAAAAGAGTTGCCCATTGTGCGTGCTGTACGCTGTCGCTGTTGTAGATATAATGACAGAAATGCTGACGCCAGCAGCATGAAAATACTGCCCACCTTAAATGCATCCAGCATTTAACATATTGGAAGTGGACAAAGCTTTACAACTGGTCTCTTAAGAATCCCAGTCGCTGTTTGTACAGTGGCAACTCTGGCAATGCCATCTTCACCGGGATGTAATTGAAGAATCCGTCCAAGTTTCCATAAGAGGGGGGCTGTTGGTTCCCGGATGAGGACTAAATCATGAATTTTCAAATTTGGGTTATGGGCTGTCCATTTTGTACGATTTTGAAGCGTTTGCAAGTATTCAGTTTGCCAACGTTTCCAAAAATGAGAATGGATGTCCTTAATCATTCTCCAACGTTGAAAATGGGAAAGCGGAACATTGACCAAGTTAGGTTCCACATGGGCAGTACTGGACATGAGTGTAAGAAAGTGACTCGGAGTGAGAGCTTCGAAGTCAGAGGGATCTGAACTCTTGGCGCCTAGTGGACGAGAGTTCAAGGTGGCTTCAATGCGACTCAGAAGGGTAGATAATTCTTCATACTTCAGCCGTTGAAGCCCAAGCGTTCGATACAATAAAGTTTTGACTGATTTGACACCTGCCTCCCAAAGTCCTCCAAAGTGAGGTGCGGACGGAGGGTTGAAGTGCCAGCTTATATTACGAGACATTAGATAGGTTTGACATTTGTCTTGAAATTCCTTAGAATGTGTAAATTGATCGACGGATTGGAATAGCTTGGCTGCGCCTACAAAATTTGTTCCACAATCACTGTGCATTTGTTCAACCAGCCCTCGTCGTGAAATGAACCGACAGAAGGCCATCAGGAATGTTTCCGACGATAAATCAGAAGCGACTTCCAAGTGTAATGCCTTTGTCGTCATACACACAAAAAGGCAAATATAGGCCTGACTTGGTACCTTTCGTCGAGTCGTGGAAGACCTTAACATTATAGGACCTGCATAATCTACACCTGTTATCATGAATGGCTTCACCTGCTGTAAGCGACATTTTGGAATATCTCCCATAAATGGTTGTGAATTGCGAGGGCGAGTTTTGTAGCAAGCTATGCAGAGTCTTAGTCGAGATCTAATGACTTGGCGACTACCGATTATCCAATATTGTTGTGAAATAATTGTTTGAAGTGTAGTGGCCCCGGGATGTTTGTTTTGTGTGTGGAAATCATCAATGAGTAAATCCGTCAATCGATGGGACCGAGGAAGAAGAATCGGATGCTTCTGTTCGTATGGGATTTCAGCATGCTTCAAGCGACCACCTACACGGATGAGTCCATGTTCATCAAAAAAGGGACTGAGGTTTCGTAGTTTACTCTGACCAGGATGCAGAGGATCACGTATGTGCGCCCATTCGTCGGCGAATGATTGTTTTTGAACTAATTGAATAATAAGTTGTAGTGCCCGTACTTGTTCAGCTGGAAACAAATTGATTTTAGTAACCCTAGATTTTTGGAAAACCCTTAGGCAATACGCAACAACATGTATAATTTTAGTCAAAGATGAGAGACGATACAGAAGTTGAGTAAATATGTGCACATTGGTGGTTACCACCAGAATGGTTTTACGTTCTTCAAGATTAGTTCCATCAGCATCCATTTGAATTTGCATTGATGGCCATGTTAAGGGGTCCTGGGAAAGGAAACTTGGTCCAGACCACCACAGAGGATGCTGAAGTAATTCCGAAGGGTACAGTCCTCGTGAAGCACAATCTACAGGGTTGTCAGCTGTTGGAACATACCTCCAGATAGATGGGGGTGTGTATTCTTGCAGTTGACTTGTTCGGTTCGCAATGAAAGTTGTCCATCGATGAGGCGATGACTTGATCCAGGCCAGAGTTGTTGTAGAGTCCGTCCAGGCCTGCATACTCTCGATTTGTAACATAGGTGTTAGAATTGTATGTACCGAATGTAACAATTTTGCAGCAAGCAACGCACCACAAAGTTCCAGCCGTGGAATTGTGACACGCTTTAGTGGGGCTACCTTTGATTTTGCCAAGATAAGGTGGCAACGAACGACACTACCTGTGTTGCAACGGAGATAAACGGCAGCGGCGTATCCCTTTTCGGAGCTGTCCGAAAAGGAATGCAGCTCATATGTTGGGTGACCGTCAAACGTGATTCGACGAGAAATGGTCAATTCATTTATACAGTTCAGTTCTTGTCGGTATCGTTGCCAAATTGTTAGCGTTTGTACAGGAATGGGATCATCCCAACCTATTCCGGATGCCCACAAGAGTTGCATTAGGTGTTTAGCCATGAATGTGACAGGTGACAGGAAACCCAGTGGATCAAAAATGCGTGCCAGATCTGATAAAACTGACCGCTTGGTCGCTGTATTGCTCGGAGTATGACAATTATATGAAAATTGGTCTTGCGTAGGGTTCCACTGCATGCCAAGGATCTTTAGCTTCGCATCCATGTCGTCATCGAGCTGCACGACATGAGACATTAAGCAATCAGTGGTGGGTACCGACTGCAAGATGCTGGGTAAGTTGCTAGCCCATTTTCTAAGTTGGAATTTTCCTTGAGCACACAACGAAATAACCTGTTGTTGACAATGTAATGTGTCATCTTCCGAGCTAGCTCCTGTGAGTATGTCATCAACAAATGTATCGTTCAGGATTACATTGGCTGCGACTGGGAATCTATCTCCTTCAATCTTTGCTAAATGTTGTAACGTACGTAGTGCTTGATATGGAGCACAGGAGGTGCCATATGAAACGGTACATAACCTATATTCATCGATGGGTAAATCACGGTTGAAACGCCAAAAAATCCGCAAGTAGTCCCGATCGGTGTGATGGATTTCGATTTGACGATACATTTGCTTTATGTCCGCAGTGAACAAAAATGTATGTACTCGTGCACGAATCAAAATTTGAGTGATCTCTTGCTGTAGCTTGCGCCCAGTATATAAGCTTGTATTCAAAGATTGACCTGTGGTGGTTCGAGCCGATGCATCGAAAACCACGCGGAGCTTAGTAGTCTGACTTTCCGGGCGTAGAATGCAATGATGAGGTATATAATAACAATAAGGAGTATTCTGATTATTTTTCGGAACCGCTTCCATGTATTTATTTTCAAGATAATCCCTCATAAAGTCTGAATAGTTTTTGTTAAGATTTTCGTCACGTGATAGTCGATGTTCGAGGCTATGGAACCGTTTCAGGGCTCCACTTTTGGAATCTCCTAGGATGGGGTGTGAATGTTTGAAGGGTAATGCAACACTGAACCGTCCGGATTCCAGGCGTTTGATTGAAGAAGTGAATATTGCTTCAGCTTGAATTTCATCGGGACTTAGATGTTGAACATTAGGTGGTTCTTCCATTTCCCAGAATTTGGTCAAGGAGTGTTCTAACGATAGATTAGAAGTCACTAACACAGAAGTCGCCAAATTTGTCTGTTTTGGTGAGACTGGTCCCATCAATACCCATCCAAAGATAGTACCAAAGGCAGTTGGTTCTAAAGGTTGACCTGCGATGCGATTTCCCGTGAGTAATGTAGGTGCAACATCAGCCCCCAGTAAAATGTCGATTGGACCAGGAATATTGAATGTTGGGTCAGCTAAATCTAAATTCGTCAAATGAGACCACAAAGAAGATTTAATATTTGATTGAGGTGTGGCGTCTGTAATTTTGGATACAATGAAAACGTCGAGAGGAAAAAGTGGCTCAGACTTTCCCAATGGTGACAGCCTGATAGAAGTTATACCCGATACCACATTAACAGACGTGTCTGAGAAGGCATTCACCTGAGCTGAACAGCGACGTCGTGCCAGTGAAAGACGATCAGCACAGTTTTTCGTAATGAAGTTAACTTGGGATCCAGTGTCCAAAAGTGCTCGGAAAGTGTGGGTCTCTTGATGGGTTGATTGGATGTTAACCAGTAACGTTGACAATAGGACAGATCGAGGCACTGCGTCAGCTACTAGCATTGTGGTGGGGGACACAGTGGTTGCAGTTGACGTAGCAGCTGCTGTAAAATGAAGCAGCGAATGGTGCTGCTTTTGGCAGGATTTGCAAGTGTTTTTTGAAGGACACGTTGTATATGAATGACCGGACCCCAAACAATTGATGCAGAGATTAAGCCTTTTCGCTAGTTGGAAACGTTCGGTTGGAGTTTCACTGAGAAAGCTTGGACATTGACGTATGGAATGAGTATCTTTGCACATGGCACAGCTTTTGGTAAACGTCTTAGGAGTGCTTGTGATTAACACTTTAGGAGACGGTCCAGGTTTTGAATTTGAGGTCGATTTTTGAGATGTCCCTTTTGGTTTGGTTGCATTTCCCGCTTGTGTGTGACTGTACGAGTGTACTTCTGCCGAACGGATATGACTACGTAAGAAATCAACGAATTCGTTAATTTGTGGAGAAAAGTTGTCACCGACTGTCAGTTCCCAGCGAGACCTCAGTTCATAATCCAGATGTTTTTCAAATATGTGAATGAGTATAGGACCCCACTGACGAGTAGCAAAGGTCAGATTGTCTAATGCAGCGGTGTGTTCCAGAATCGTGTTTATTACGCGTTTAATTGAATCGGCTTTGTTAAATGTAACGGTATGTGGTGTTAGCAAAGCATCTAGATGGATCCGAGCTAAGTCACGCTTATTTCCATACCGACTCCGCAGAATTTCCCAAGCACTTTTATAGTTTGCTGGTGTTAACGTGAGATGCACTATCAGAGAGAGTGCCTCTCCCACCAATGATGTCCGTAGGCATTCAAATTTTTCAACGTCAGACATGTCCGGGGTATGTGAAAGTATTGACAAGAAAAGATCTTCAAACCCTTGAAATTCGGTTATATCACCGGAAAAAGTCGGAAATGACCGTTTTGGTAATTGGTAGATTGATAAATGTTGAGTCCCACCAAACTGAGTTGTATTATGTACCTGTGAAGTATCAGATTGCGAAGATAGTGGTATCTTATGAAGCTTCGCCATTGCCATAAGGTCATAGTACATTGTATCAAAGGAATCAACAAACGACATTGAGCAGGTATTGTCCGTGACACCCTCAGGTGCTGTTTTTGAACTTACTGCGTGCTCCATGATGTCAATATCATTATTGACCTCTATACGTATGCCCTTTAGCTCCACAAACATGGTTTCCACCTTTGCTCTTTTGCTGGTACTATTTTTGTCAGCAAGGTAGTCATTTACTGTTTTGACGAAATAAGTGACTCGGGCCAATGCTCGAACTACTCGTGCCTTTGCTTGGTAGTACAGTATTTCCCCTTCGTCAACCATGATGAAACGTTTAGAGAAATTGACTCCTATGCGAAATGACAAGATTTACCCGTAGAATAGTTTAGAAGGTCTAGGTTAGTCTTGTAGATCCGGCTCGAAGGACCAAAATATGTAGGGTATTTTGATGATTTGAAGGACCAGCTCGATAGAATAAATTTGTAGCGATTGTATCTACCGAACAGATTGACGGCGTCAAGGATAGGCAACCAAAGTTGCATGTACGATTAACGTTGTTAGAGGTGACAAGACGACGACGCCTACTCCAAGATATACGTAATCCAACACACAGCTAAACGGATTGATGGTGGCTGGCTATGACGCGACGATGGACAACAAGGAACCAGAACGCACCGAAACGCGAAGGTGTGAAGGATACAGGTTATACAATGGGAAATAGGATAATGCAATTTACGTATAAACGGGGGTCTCTCTGTGCTCGGATCGGTCTGGTGCAATGACCATAGAGCTCACAATAAGTGGAGATAATCTTACAACTAACTTATGCTACGGAAGTATATGCAGTTGTCACGATATCCACTGATGCCCCAGAATGTCCACGCATCAATGACTGAGGTGGAGGTATAAGATTGGTCGATCCACAGCGTATTGCATCTGGACGACCTGGGCGGCCACTCACACAACACACAATGATTGCTGGCGGGCTTACGCAAGTGACGAGTGATGCCAAGAATAACGCGGATGATAGTGTAATGATCACCGTACGTTCGATTCTTATTGGCGATAGTCAGTTCGGATTCTCTAACAAAGAGGTAGATATTACAAAAGGAACCAAATGAATGAGTACTCACCGATTTTGAACGAAATATTATGATTTATTGATATCCGTTATGTAAATGATCTGCAGACTCAGTCTCCGCGAAATCAGATAAGGTTACAAAGATTATTGTGTCATTTGACTGATGACAACAATGAGAAAAGATAGAACGTGTATGTACACAATTAATAATAAAAAAGATCGGGAGCTGCTGTAATAGCGAGCGTCGCCAGTACACACCACACAGTACTACGTATTATAATATTACGATTTCTGTAGGTTATGTTGACACAACGTACAAAAAACTAGAGAACTAGAACAATATAAAACAATATGGCGGTGTTTACATTGATTGAGCAAAGACATTATAAATACGTTTTTGTATGGAGTGGATCGAGTATGTAATGAATAGGAAGAGACGGGAAGAGCGGGGATAAAAGAGTTGCCCATTGTGCGTGCTGTACGCTGTCGCTGTTGTAGATATAATGACAGAAATGCTGACGCCAGCAGCATGAAAATACTGCCCACCTTAAATGCATCCAGCATTTAACATATTGGAAGTGGACAAAGCTTTACAACTGGTCTCTTAAGAATCCCAGTCGCTGTTTGTACAGTGGCAACTCTGGCAATGCCATCTTCACCGGGATGTAATTGAAGAATCCGTCCAAGTTTCCATAAGAGGGGGGCTGTTGGTTCCCGGATGAGGACTAAATCATGAATTTTCAAATTTGGGTTATGGGCTGTCCATTTTGTACGATTTTGAAGCGTTTGCAAGTATTCAGTTTGCCAACGTTTCCAAAAATGAGAATGGATGTCCTTAATCATTCTCCAACGTTGAAAATGGGAAAGCGGAACATTGACCAAGTTAGGTTCCACATGGGCAGTACTGGACATGAGTGTAAGAAAGTGACTCGGAGTGAGAGCTTCGAAGTCAGAGGGATCTGAACTCTTGGCGCCTAGTGGACGAGAGTTCAAGGTGGCTTCAATGCGACTCAGAAGGGTAGATAATTCTTCATACTTCAGCCGTTGAAGCCCAAGCGTTCGATACAATAAAGTTTTGACTGATTTGACACCTGCCTCCCAAAGTCCTCCAAAGTGAGGTGCGGACGGAGGGTTGAAGTGCCAGCTTATATTACGAGACATTAGATAGGTTTGACATTTGTCTTGAAATTCCTTAGAATGTGTAAATTGATCGACGGATTGGAATAGCTTGGCTGCGCCTACAAAATTTGTTCCACAATCACTGTGCATTTGTTCAACCAGCCCTCGTCGTGAAATGAACCGACAGAAGGCCATCAGGAATGTTTCCGACGATAAATCAGAAGCGACTTCCAAGTGTAATGCCTTTGTCGTCATACACACAAAAAGGCAAATATAGGCCTGACTTGGTACCTTTCGTCGAGTCGTGGAAGACCTTAACATTATAGGACCTGCATAATCTACACCTGTTATCATGAATGGCTTCACCTGCTGTAAGCGACATTTTGGAATATCTCCCATAAATGGTTGTGAATTGCGAGGGCGAGTTTTGTAGCAAGCTATGCAGAGTCTTAGTCGAGATCTAATGACTTGGCGACTACCGATTATCCAATATTGTTGTGAAATAATTGTTTGAAGTGTAGTGGCCCCGGGATGTTTGTTTTGTGTGTGGAAATCATCAATGAGTAAATCCGTCAATCGATGGGACCGAGGAAGAAGAATCGGATGCTTCTGTTCGTATGGGATTTCAGCATGCTTCAAGCGACCACCTACACGGATGAGTCCATGTTCATCAAAAAAGGGACTGAGGTTTCGTAGTTTACTCTGACCAGGATGCAGAGGATCACGTATGTGCGCCCATTCGTCGGCGAATGATTGTTTTTGAACTAATTGAATAATAAGTTGTAGTGCCCGTACTTGTTCAGCTGGAAACAAATTGATTTTAGTAACCCTAGATTTTTGGAAAACCCTTAGGCAATACGCAACAACATGTATAATTTTAGTCAAAGATGAGAGACGATACAGAAGTTGAGTAAATATGTGCACATTGGTGGTTACCACCAGAATGGTTTTACGTTCTTCAAGATTAGTTCCATCAGCATCCATTTGAATTTGCATTGATGGCCATGTTAAGGGGTCCTGGGAAAGGAAACTTGGTCCAGACCACCACAGAGGATGCTGAAGTAATTCCGAAGGGTACAGTCCTCGTGAAGCACAATCTACAGGGTTGTCAGCTGTTGGAACATACCTCCAGATAGATGGGGGTGTGTATTCTTGCAGTTGACTTGTTCGGTTCGCAATGAAAGTTGTCCATCGATGAGGCGATGACTTGATCCAGGCCAGAGTTGTTGTAGAGTCCGTCCAGGCCTGCATACTCTCGATTTGTAACATAGGTGTTAGAATTGTATGTACCGAATGTAACAATTTTGCAGCAAGCAACGCACCACAAAGTTCCAGCCGTGGAATTGTGACACGCTTTAGTGGGGCTACCTTTGATTTTGCCAAGATAAGGTGGCAACGAACGACACTACCTGTGTTGCAACGGAGATAAACGGCAGCGGCGTATCCCTTTTCGGAGCTGTCCGAAAAGGAATGCAGCTCATATGTTGGGTGACCGTCAAACGTGATTCGACGAGAAATGGTCAATTCATTTATACAGTTCAGTTCTTGTCGGTATCGTTGCCAAATTGTTAGCGTTTGTACAGGAATGGGATCATCCCAACCTATTCCGGATGCCCACAAGAGTTGCATTAGGTGTTTAGCCATGAATGTGACAGGTGACAGGAAACCCAGTGGATCAAAAATGCGTGCCAGATCTGATAAAACTGACCGCTTGGTCGCTGTATTGCTCGGAGTATGACAATTATATGAAAATTGGTCTTGCGTAGGGTTCCACTGCATGCCAAGGATCTTTAGCTTCGCATCCATGTCGTCATCGAGCTGCACGACATGAGACATTAAGCAATCAGTGGTGGGTACCGACTGCAAGATGCTGGGTAAGTTGCTAGCCCATTTTCTAAGTTGGAATTTTCCTTGAGCACACAACGAAATAACCTGTTGTTGACAATGTAATGTGTCATCTTCCGAGCTAGCTCCTGTGAGTATGTCATCAACAAATGTATCGTTCAGGATTACATTGGCTGCGACTGGGAATCTATCTCCTTCAATCTTTGCTAAATGTTGTAACGTACGTAGTGCTTGATATGGAGCACAGGAGGTGCCATATGAAACGGTACATAACCTATATTCATCGATGGGTAAATCACGGTTGAAACGCCAAAAAATCCGCAAGTAGTCCCGATCGGTGTGATGGATTTCGATTTGACGATACATTTGCTTTATGTCCGCAGTGAACAAAAATGTATGTACTCGTGCACGAATCAAAATTTGAGTGATCTCTTGCTGTAGCTTGCGCCCAGTATATAAGCTTGTATTCAAAGATTGACCTGTGGTGGTTCGAGCCGATGCATCGAAAACCACGCGGAGCTTAGTAGTCTGACTTTCCGGGCGTAGAATGCAATGATGAGGTATATAATAACAATAAGGAGTATTCTGATTATTTTTCGGAACCGCTTCCATGTATTTATTTTCAAGATAATCCCTCATAAAGTCTGAATAGTTTTTGTTAAGATTTTCGTCACGTGATAGTCGATGTTCGAGGCTATGGAACCGTTTCAGGGCTCCACTTTTGGAATCTCCTAGGATGGGGTGTGAATGTTTGAAGGGTAATGCAACACTGAACCGTCCGGATTCCAGGCGTTTGATTGAAGAAGTGAATATTGCTTCAGCTTGAATTTCATCGGGACTTAGATGTTGAACATTAGGTGGTTCTTCCATTTCCCAGAATTTGGTCAAGGAGTGTTCTAACGATAGATTAGAAGTCACTAACACAGAAGTCGCCAAATTTGTCTGTTTTGGTGAGACTGGTCCCATCAATACCCATCCAAAGATAGTACCAAAGGCAGTTGGTTCTAAAGGTTGACCTGCGATGCGATTTCCCGTGAGTAATGTAGGTGCAACATCAGCCCCCAGTAAAATGTCGATTGGACCAGGAATATTGAATGTTGGGTCAGCTAAATCTAAATTCGTCAAATGAGACCACAAAGAAGATTTAATATTTGATTGAGGTGTGGCGTCTGTAATTTTGGATACAATGAAAACGTCGAGAGGAAAAAGTGGCTCAGACTTTCCCAATGGTGACAGCCTGATAGAAGTTATACCCGATACCACATTAACAGACGTGTCT